AGAAGAGAATTCCAGGGCAAACAGTTGGGGGGCGGTGGGGCAGGGACCTGGCTGTACAACAGGTCATGCAGAAGAGAATTCCAGGGATGGTTAAGAGAGGCAACCGGGGCCCTTGGAAACTCCCAAGAGGCCTCGCAGACTTCACTAGGCAGAGACCCAAGAAAAAAAGCTATCCCTGCTTGTCTCCAAGAATGGTGACTGTCAGTGGGGGATGGAGACAAAGGGAAATTTCTAGGGTCCTTGTAAGATTAGAAATCCTGTTAAGGGGAGTTAGTTCAGAATATCTGGATTTTCCCAATGACCAGTATTAATCTTCCCATTGCAGCTCAGGACAGAATTAAAGTGGGAAACAGCCTCCAGTGGCTTTGAGAGAAACAGGGAACTACAGAGAGCACAAGTGTTTATAGCAACAACAAAATGGCTATGAAGCCATTGCCCTTTGCATTACCCATTGCTTTTGTGAAAGAGGCTGGTCTGAGGAGCAGCCAGGACCAAGGCCTGCTCATTTAAGTGTGCACTCTCCCACCCGCTTCCTAGGCTCTACCTCACCACCCCTCCCCCAAGGGTACTTATGGCCCAGTCCTCACAGGAGAGTTATAGACCGGGTCGGGAATCGGGGGAGCTGCGAGGAGCGGCAGACTGGAGCCAAGACACCTACAGAGGTGGAGTTCTCCAGAGACCCCCCGTCTGGAGATGGCACCCAGGGCCTCTGGCACCTCCCAAGGCAGGAGATGCTCACAAGAGTGAATAGCTAGCAATAATCAGGAACGAAGCCCAGTCGCCATAGCAGGGACTTGCCCACCTCAGGAAGGTGGGCTGAATCGTCTAGTTTATAAGAAGGCTCCCCATGGGACCCAAAAGGGAGAAAAAAGCCATTGACTACGTGTACTGTAGATACACAGATACACACGTCGAGTGCCTCTCAGGTTAGGATTTGTGTTTTATGCCACTACCAATTGTTGCCAACAGTGTTCTGACAGAAGAAGGACGCGTTCTATTCTGAGGGCTGCTGGTCTATAAATAAGTCAAAGTGGCCAGAGGATTTAGGTCAAGGTGAGTTTATTGTCCAAATAGCATAACCTAATTGCATCCAAAACCATTTGCAAATCCATCTTTAAGCTGGTCAGAATAACAGGCCATTATTTTTTAAAATCACTTAACACTGAACAGACAGGACCTCTTAAAAGGTGGCTGACTATACCATGTCACCATCATAACCAGTAAAACATTTTTTCCACACTTCCAAAAACCTTTTGTTTATACTGATCATGCTACTTTAGCACTTGCTAGCATCCCGACCAAATAAACACCCACACCTCTTATAGAGTACATTGTGAGAGAATAACATTGACTCGATATGGCATCACACTCATTTTAAAGCAAAAAAAAAAAAAAAAATTATAATAATAATAAAAGAAGTCCAAGACGAGAAACTGTAACTGAGAGAGAAAGAGATCTGAGGTACATGGTACAAGGGTAATGAACATAATGGAAAAAATCCAATGGCCCAGTGATTTGCTGGGGACTTAAGAGTTGGCCAACAGTACGAAACAAAAACCAATCAAAAAAAAAAAAATGAAAACTTTTTTTTTTTTTTTAAGGACAGGCACCTGTCAAAATACACTGGATACTGCAATGGCTACAGTCAGTAAGGCACTTTTTTTCCCCAAAGTAGGCTGCAGGCAAAGGAATAAACATTGCAGCGACAAGCGTGCATGTGTACATTTGCTGATGGCTTCTTGAAACCTGAGCCAAGAATCGGGTCTGATAGTCCAGCCAAGTCTAAAAGCAGAGAGACACAAATGTAGGAGAATAGCTCTGGCTGAAAACACTGTTCTGGGTTGTTTAGAATCCAGAATCATGAAAAGCCACGTGGTATGAGAAAGTCATAAACATCCTCCTGAATCTTCCTGCCCTATTTTGTACAAATGGGCGACAGCATGAGTGGCTCTTTGAAACTGCTCGGAGCCCACACCGCTAGAAGCCTGCGCTCATTCTATAGCTACGGTTTGTTGGCTTAAGGGGACTTTACTGTCTCAGCACTAATTTCCCTTTTAAAGCTATTCTCAGGGTTGGACTGTCTCAAAGATAAACAAAGAGGAATCCTTTTGGCTTAGAAGCCAACTGGCTTACTCAGACTTCCTCCCCGTTCCTACCTCCCATTCCCACACTACCAATATTATCTTCTTGAACTAGAAAATCATTATTTACATGATATAAGGTGCAAGTCTCTTTCTTCTCCCAGCCCTGCCCCTGTGGCCCATGGAGAGAAACTTCCCCTGCCCTCTTGTGAGCAAGTCATCCAATCCTGCCTCATGCTCTTCACCTCCATCCTAGAGCTCCCCCGGGGCAGTGTGGAAAGGTCCAGAGGGTGCCAGACCACAGGAAAGCTACAACCCCCTCTGAAGAGAAGCCCATCCTGCCGGCAAAGGGCTGCTTCTGGCCCCGGGCTGCCTGGGAAAAGCAGCAGACCAAGAGTCTCCTGTACAGAGCACGGAGACCAAAGGGGATCTGGCTGTTGAGACGTGGTGAGCTCTTCAGTGGGGTTCTGGGACAGTTCCAGAATAAAGCCTCCTCTGAGACAAGCCCCCTTCTCTGAGGAGCCCTCCTGTCAACACGGGAAGACATTCTAAGGAGGGACCTATCCCCTGCTCCCACCTGCAGGCTTCTTGGCTGGTAGGAACCTGCATGGAATTGAATTATGCTTAGCATATATTTTTGGCATACTAGGACTTTCCCCCCTGGGATTTGGCCAAAATAGGGGAAGGAATAAAATTTGGCAGGCTTAGGGGAACAATTTAGCCCCCACTGATGGAGAAAAACAGTTAACAACAATGACCCAAAAAACCAAAAACCAAAAACACAGAGAGGAGGAAGAACAGAGAGAAAGACAACAGAGTAGAAAAAGACCAGAATAGGTCTGGAACCCCATTTGTGGGAGGTGAGAAGGAGAAAAAAGTCTGTGGTGGAGGGCTGAACTCCCTCTCACGAAAACTCCTACCAAGGAAACCAAGATCTAAGGGGAGGGCATCAGCTACTTTAACAAATCCAAGCTTCCTTCTTTTGTTTAAGGAGGGAGTAGGCAGAAAAGCCAAACAACCTAGCACCCTCCCATCAGCAACACCACACCTCCCATCACACCAGGCCCCGAGGACAAGAAGCAGAAAAAGATCAGAAGGCCCCGGTGGCACCCAGGGCTCCAGGAAAACTGGGAAGTTGCAGACTGCAGGGAGAGCCTGTAGGCCTGTTCCCTTCCTTATTCGTCCGGTTCTGTTTGAGCTTAGGGACAGTCACCATTAAGTGACTTTGTACCTTGCTTTCGTTAGGCTCCAAGACTCCCAAGGACTTAGGGACCACACCTCCTTCCATTCCCTGTTACTCCTCAAGGGCCTGAAAGAGCGTCCTATGCAAAGTGAGCTCTTGACAAAACACTGGCTGCTCAGCTTTCCTCTCCAAAACTTCAGAATTCACCACCCACTGTCCTACCAGAAACTCCCTAGAATTTTAGGGTTGTGCTAACTCACCAAATCCTGAACCCTTCCAAACATACTTCAAGAGAGACTGACTCATCGGAATGGCATCTCTGCAGAGATGCAGCCTCTTCACCTCCCTCCCGCTCCCACTCCAATACTCATCTGCCCTGTTTTCCCCATCATGCCAATTCAATGCAATTTAGAACCTGAAAACCACCGAGTGCCACTTAGCAGAGGGGCTGGCCGGCCGCGGTGCGAGACAGCTGGGAGGAGGCACCCTTGTGATCCCGCGTGCGGCAGATTCATGTGCCCACAGATTCAGACCTAGAAAAGCCTCTGAGATGATCCTAAACTGGGGATAGTCATGTCAGGGAAGGGGAAAGAGAGATAAGCAGATGAAAGTCCTGCTTTAAAGAAAGGGCCACAGAGGAGGATCTCCAAATAGCCTGCTGGAATTCTTTTCAATCTGTCTCCTGATACCTGGTCCCTAAGTGCAAATTATGACTTCCTAGTTCACTGCATAAATGTTTGTGCTGAACATCTGCCCTGGGGGGTGGGGGGAGGGGAAATCCCTTGGTTCAATTGTATTTTTTCCATCATGATGAGGATACCGGAGTCAAAATGGAAGCCTAATGACCTTCATGACTGAAAAGGTCCCTGGGTGTCAGACCCAAGGGCCAAATCCACCCCACCCTCCACCTGAGAGGGGCTTTCGGCCTCCTCGCCGACTTCGCCTTTCCCCGCACTAACGGCTCCCAAGCAGAAACTATGCGGTTGTGAGGTATTATGAAAACAAAAATGTGAATCATTTTCTTTTGTAGCTATTGATTTTGTCCAGTAAACCTGAGGTAAAGAATGCTCTGTCTTTGAAGAATGTGATAAGAGAGAGAGAGAGAGAGAGAGAGAAAACCAAAAGGAAAAAACAAAAAACAAAACAAAAACAAAAAAACCATGAATACGCTACCAGAAGAAAAACTATGGAAGGGCTTTTCCAGTACGAAGAACTCCTATCTTGACCACCTACTTCAGGACTTGGAATTTAAGCAGTAAAATAATATATTATAAAAATGTTTATAAAATAGCAGCACACTCTGTGAAACATTACAGCTAGGTACTGTTAATGTGAATAAGGATGAATGATCTTAGCTTCTTAGCAGCGCAAAAAAAAAAATAATCATAAAAAACTGAACACAATAAACTGAAAAATAAGAGACCCTTAGATTTTTCTCCATCTTCAACCCTCATACTACGAAACAAGGCAGAATCTGTGTATAAAATAATTCTTCAAAGCAGCCCTGTTCTGATTTTTCTTTCTAACTTAAAAAGGCAAATATTTTAATAGCTTCATTACCTGTCAATTATAATTGTGCAAAAAAAAAAAAAAGTTGTTGCTCCAACCTCTTCGCTAACTGAATGCCTCTAAGAAGTGGAGAGGAAAAAAATTCAAGTACGCTGAATACAACTTTGCAATGAAATTAACGAAAAAACGGAAAAGGGAACAAAATGCCACACTCTGATATTCAGCTGTCTGTCTGCACCAGCAGTAACTTTTCTTTCCATGTCCAGAGGGGAAGCATATAGGTGGGAATTAAGATCCTTCTTTGCCACCAAAATGGTAACAGATCTTTGTTTGTAGGCTTTTTGGAGGAATGTTGTGATGGGAATGTCGGTGGAAAGGGATGTCTCTTGAGTCCCGGTAGGGATACCAGAACTGTGTACCAGAGAATGTCAGATACCAGGAGTGAGTAGTCCCCCGACCTGGGGCAGGCAGGGGGGAGCACAGGAGGAGCAGGGAGCAGTCTATTCAGCATGACTTTGCATAAACCATCCCATCTCTCCCTCGGGAACAAGTTTTCAAAGTGCTTTTCGAATGGAATGGTTTATAACAATGCTAAACTGTGGACCAGACATGCCAATCAGCACCAAAAATCAGTTTTTTAATAAAGGATGCCAAGGTCACATTACCCTCTTGAATACATTAAGAGAAAATATTCCATTCCAGATCCCACCCTTGGTCTCCATCTGCCTCCGTTTCATATGAGTTTTGGTTATGGCCCAAAGCGAGATGGCCCCTTTTGATAAAAATATGGTGGTGTCTGCAATGAACCATGTTTGGAAGAAGAAGCAAGATGTCACAAGCACATGAAACCCAGAATCCAATCACCTGTGTCCAACTGGCAAAATAAAACATCTCTTTTAGGTAGCAGCTACTGTAGACAGCAAGAGATCATAACTAGAGATTCAGCTATGCTCCGGACTTAGTAACAAACAGGTGGTCGAGAACAAAGGTGCTTCTACATCCAAAATGGTTCAATCAGGTTGAGAGATTGTTTTGTACTCCCTCCCCATCGTGTCCCTTATTTCTAATTCTTTCTTGAGTTCATTGCTTTGCAATCTAATCATGCCATAAATGGCATATGCAAGTTCCTTGAAATTATCCTACAAGGGGTGTGTACATGCTAGTTCATAACATGAAAAAAAAAAAGCTTCCTCTAATTTGTTCCCATATTTGCAGGCGTACATTTTCTCTAGCTACTCTGCAGGTTTTTCTGTAAGCATTTTACTATTACTTTTAACATAATCAACAATAACTGTTCGCATATACAAGGGATTCCCTTCTGTTGTACTTCAAATAGGCACCAAATGCTTTTAGTTATTCCGTTTTTATAGGACCTTTTTCTCTCACTTCTAAAAGATCTTTCAATATGATCTAGGTGGGGGCAGAATTTTTTTTGTTGTTGCTTTTAAAGTTTCATCCTAAAACATAAAGAACAAAACACAACCAGAGAGAAGGAGAGAGCAGATGTGAACGCATCTCTCCCATTCGGCCCGACTTCGTCCTCACAGGTCAATATCCCGCACGTCCGTAGGGGTGCTGGCCTGGTCCAGTTCATCCTCCGACTTGGACCCGTCCCCCTGGTCCTGACGGAACTGCTGCAGGCTGTTGAGCAGCACCACCTCAATCTGCTCCTGGCAGGCTTTGAGGCAGTCCTAGAAGGAGAGGGGGTCAGACCAGAGCTGTTAGCAAGATCAACAGTGTGCACAGCATTTATGAAGAAAATATACACAATGGAAGCCTCATGGGCTTCATGCCGGTTTCCCAGTAGAGAGATGTGCTCCAGCAGAGCTGTGGGACCACACCGCTCCAAGTGGGGTCCACAGCCGGCAGCATCGGCACCCCCTTGTTGAAAATGCAGAATCCCGGCCCATTCCAGATCAATCAAAAGAGAATCGGTATTTTTAGCAGAAGCCCAGCTGAGACAAACACACATGAGAATCTGGCCAAGATGCTGAGCCCTTTACAGACACGCCGCACCCGGTAACCCCAGCGCCAACTGGGGGCTTTCTGCTTGTGGACTGTGGGAGGTGACAGAGAAACAGCAAAGGCCAGCACCGCAGACAGAGCCACAGAGTCAGGCAGGTGTGGCATCAGAGGGATGGATGAGAAGAGAGTGCATTCAACTGTACTCAGAAACCGCGGAGGTTCTTAAAAAGAAAAACGCCCTGTTTTCTGCTTTACTTAATCACCCTCAATTCTCATAGAACTACAACACGGAATGTTGACAGAACTCTGGACGTTGCAACTGTCCAATTTGGGAGTAAGTAAGAATTTGCAACATTGTTTGATATTAGTCTATATTTGGTAGGGAAAATTCAGAGTAAGTTTGCCCCAGGCAGAAGCTTCTGTTAGCGGGGTGCCCTGGAATGCGCGGCAATTCATGGGTGTCACGAGGGAGGGGCTGGCTCCTAGCGGCAAGTGGGCTAAAGGGAATCGCTCTTAGCAGATATGCTCCCCGCCTCTCCTCTGCAATGCTCTGTTTCTGCACTCAAGCAGCATCTACACATGGAAAATATGTTCAATTGACTCCGCTTGGGTCTTCCCACAGCTTAATCTAGGCTTCCCTTGTTGTTTGTTTCACTCTGCAATTCTCACTGCCTGGAGGCTACTGTTTGCCAAGCACAAAAGCATTATCTTTATTTTCTGAAGATCTAAAATAAAGTTGGACTGAACTACTCAGGGACACAGTTTCCATGCCCCCCAATGTTCCATTCCTATCTTGTCCATTCCACGTTTCAAACTACAGCTTTTTACGAAACTGAAGATTAGGAACAACAGCTGCAGATTGCTAAGGGCAGAGATGGAGTGTCACCCAGCATGCAAGACAAATGAAAACAGGGAGATAGTATGTGCGACCCGCCCACCATACTTGCAGGGAGCAACGAGGTCATTTCACTTCTCGGATCTGTTCCCCAACTTGTAAAATAAGGATGAAAAACACTCATAGGGTAATGGTCAACTCGTGAGATGATGTATCTCAGGTGCTAAATTCAATAAATGAACCCCATTTCTTATGAATAACAAGAAACCCGTCCTGGAGTCTGAAAGAATTCTTTCGATTTCTTTAAGATGAGATATGGATAAGCATTCGCTCCAGATTGCTGAAGGCAAGCACCATGTGTCTGGCACTGGGGGTGGATCGTGGAACAAGACAGACAGAACCCAGCCTCAGAGATCTCTGGGACACCCTGAACAAGCTGAAGGGTCAGGGACTGGCAACATCTCTCAAACTTCTGTGGCATGCCCTGGCCACATCCTCTACCCTGTCCATCGATCCCCTCACCATCGACAGGAAACCTTCCCTGGGCTCCTCCTCCAAAGCCCACGCCCAGGGGTTGTGCTCCCAGGTCACTCACCACTTGCCCCATGAGCTCGGGGCGAAGGCTAAAGGCATAACGTTTCTAAGGGCATTTCCATTTCAGTAGAAGATATTAGAAAACCCGAAAGCCTTACAATCGATAAAGAAAACTGATCTTAAATAAAGATAAAGCTGGTGTGGGCAAACAAATGACTATAGGTAAACAACTCTCAACTCTCCTTGGGAAGGTCGTGCATCAGAGGTGGACAGTGGGGCCCACGGTCAGTTTTCCTTCCAAAGCCAGAGTAGGCGGCTTGTTCCCCATTTGAGCACCATCTGAAGAAGCCGACTTGTTCTGAGAGGCCATGTTGGTGGCAGAACACTATCCTCAAAAGCCCCGTCTCAGGTCTCGGGCGCCCTCCACCCTCCTTCATTCCCCTGAACTCCTCACTGAGAAATGAGGGGCTGCAGAATTGAAATGAATATTAGTTTCCTCTTTCTTTTTTCTCGCAGGGAATAATGAGTTGAATCCAGCCAGTTGTGATGGGATGCCCCTCCGCTACAGAGGTCCTTCAGGAGCTGGTGAAGGTTATGTTTAAAAGGAGGCCGGGGGGATGGGTCAGAACCCTCATACCACGGGGATGGTACCCGCATGCTTGCCTCCATGGGGGACAAATCCTATCCAAAGCATAGGGCATAAAGAGCTTTTTTCCCCCCCCGAAGTAGTATTAACGTATGTGTTCTATTAATTTCAGGCGTGGCATAAAGGGCTTTTGTTCTCTAAAGAGGATGGCAGGATTCTCAGCTGATTGAGGGACTGTGTGTGTAGGGGAGGGACAGACAATAGCTCTGAACCACTAAATTCAATAAGAAACGCCAGTCAGGTGTCAGCAACGAGGCCTCTTTAACAAGACGGTTTCCCATGGCACAGCCATTTGGTGAAGACTCCCTGACATGAAGGTGAAGGTCGTGTGGAAGACCCTGCCCACCACTAAGAGCCCTAGTGCCTCCCGCCGATCCTGTCCAGCTTTCCTTCCTCTGAGGCTGTATTTTGGTGCCATGGGGAGGTCATCAAGGTCAGCCCACCTTCCACCCCAAAAATATGACCAACTCAGGACTCCATGATTATCACTGCATTAGCCACACCAGCATCCCTGAGAAAGATCGTCCTCCACACAAGGAGACAAAGCTCAAGAAAGCGAAAGAACCTGATCTGGGGCCATATTAGAGTCTTCGCTTTTGGGACGCCAGCAATTCTACTGTTTCTGGCATTCAGCCTTCCCTTCCAGCAGCCTGAAACCTCAAAGAATGGTTCTAGAAAAATTCCTACAGGGAAGGCTGGGACCGTGGACAGTCACTTCTACTGGACTTTCAGAGCCATGGGACTGAAGATAACATGCCTCAAGTGTCACATTTATGTAAGTTCCAGCCAAGAACACACATACCGGCTTTCCTGAATAAAATAAAGGAAGGTTTCATGTAAAGCACTTTCCTCGGCCCTGTTTTCATTTCAGTCTAAATCGTGACTGATGATGGCCAGCTCTTGATCTTTGATACCTCCTACCTGAAGAGATAAATGACTTATAGCAGTTACCCCAGAAATGAGGGACCCTGAACTCCATCCCCGGCTCGCTTCTAGATTCATCTGGGACAGAGCGGGAAGCTAACCCTCTCTGGGCTCAATCACGTCCCTCACTCCTGGAAAGCTCTCTGGGGCCTCGGCCTAACACTCCTTCAGGTTCCCCTTCTTCACAGCTCAGCTATTATCAGCTTGAGTTTTAAGTGCAGATCACCCATCCTTAACTGGATAAAGAAACTTAAGGGCAAGTGTCTGTCTTGCAAGAACAATGTCAAACAGTCTACTCTGTGATGGTGGAGACAGAGACATCATCACGCCCCCTTCCTGGAGACAGAACTCACTCCCTGTATTTTAATGCCCTCCTTTAGCATTGTTAGGAACCATTCTTGGACTTGCAAAGAGCACAAGAATTTTCTGTGAGCTGATGGAAAGTGAAGGGAGAGGGAAATGTGTGGTGGTGCTGTTACCTGAGCCAGACATGCCCACCCCACACAGCCCCGTTCCCGCCCAAGGGGCTCCCACTCTCCCAAGCAGCAGGGCAGGACGGCACACGGGACTGGGGCGGCAGGAGCGGTGACCTGGAGAGGAGGAGGAACGTGCCTCAAACCCGGCAGGGCTGCTGGTGCTGGAAGGTCAAGCTGAGAGAAGGAAATAAAGAGGGGGGGGCAAGTTCAAGGGCCCGAAAAGAAAAGGAGGCAAAGCTGGGGAAGAGCAGAATCATAGTATTTCCAAAGGGCAGAATCACAGGACGCCACACAGAGGCAATTGCAGAGTCGGGGGATTTGGGGGTCTGAACGGCTTCTGGAGCTCAAACAGCCACACGCCCTCATTGTACAGCTAGAGTACGGAACTGAAACTGGCTTGTCCCCCGGTTCCTTCGAGTTAAAAGCTAAGCCTGGCTTTAAACGGGCAAGCCTCCAGCTTCAGAACTCTTTCCCCTAGGACCCTCTGCTTCTTCCCAGCTCTAAGGAAAGACATCCAGGGCAGAGAATCTCCAAGAAAGGGAGACGTAGCCCCAAGGGGCTGGTGGGCAGGGGAGGGGGGGCACCGGACAGCTCGTCCAGTGAAAAGATGCTGCATGCATGCAAAATGCAGCAGCTCTGGGACCTCTGCTTTCCGGCAGCCTCCGAAAGCACCGGTCATTGTGTTAAGATGCCCCGAATTAAGCTGATTAAAAGGAAAGCCATAATGCTCGTCTGTCAGCCCGGACAGGTGGCACTCCACAGTGCTGGAGGTCGGGCAAACCTCCAACTCCGATGATGATCGGCTCCCTCCCTGGCCCCTGCCCCCCAGCCCGGAGCCCTGACAGCAGTGTTTGTGATCTCCAGCTCGTTACACGGGCCTCCGACTTCCTCTGCGTGCTGGCTCGGGCTCTGCGCCCTGCACCCTCCTCGGCCTCCATGAATGGGCTGACGGAACTCCTACCATGAGCCCCCAGTGTAACTGCATCACGCCATTGTCACCACACACGCACTGCACTCAACAGGGGCACAAAGGGCTGAATGAGCCCCAGACCCGCGGCCAACTCAGGCAGAGACAACTTAGGAAACTATCTCATTCTTCCTTTCTTCACAGGCCGTTTGGCTTATTTCCTTGCATACCAAATGAGGCCCGCAGAAGAAATAAGGCAGGAGAGGGAAGCATGAGCCTCCAGTTCGACTCCGCCCCCCTCCCCGCGCCCAGCTTCCCCTCCGGCCCCCCTTCACAAGGTCCTTGACCACAGGCCCCGTCGGGTCCACAAAGGACAGCCCCAGCCGTACAGGGGCCCCCTCAGGAGCAGGTGTGCCGCGAGCCGGCCGGTGCCTCTCACTAAGGAGGACAGAGACACAGGGCTGCGGGCCCGCACCGGCGCGTGTGGTCAAAAGCCGGAGTTCCTCCCCCGCACAGCCAATGGGTTTTCAACAGCTCACTGGCAACCACGACCCTAACATGCCAGGATGACCCTAGCGCAGGGGCAGACTGAATCTTCTCCGGGTGCTATTTAAGTACGAGACAGAGTTTTAATGTAACCGAGGGAGAAAAGGACGAATATAGGGACCAGGGAACTAGCGTCTGCCTCCGCCAAATGACCTCCCAATAGCTTCACAGCATGGTCACGGCCCGTGAGCCTGACTCCTACGTTTTTATCAGTTTGTAAAACTGTGTCACGTGAAGGTGATGTGTTTTGCTCAGGACCTTGGTGTGTAAATTAAGGCTTACAGGGCTTTCCCAAAGACCTGGGGAGACCAAAGACTCAGAAACACACTCTAAGCCCATATGCCTGGCCTTTGTGTCCTCCGTTCGTTCCTTCCGGCTTCCCTCCCTCTCTTCAGCATCATTCCCAAGCCTCTGCCAGGGGCTCTGGATAAAGAGCACAGTAAAAGTTGGGTCCTGTTCAAGAGGCTCTATAGACAAGGAACGCTGAGATAAATGCTGGCACAAACCACGAGCCGAGTGCCGAGGGGACGGAAGAGGAACCCCGAGTCTGCCCGGCGGAGCCGGGAAAGGTTCACCGGGGAACCAGGACGCTGGAGCCCTCCTCTCAAACTCACCCTTGGCAACGGAAGCCCCGGTAGAAGTTTCCCCAAAGCCAGCACCGCCTCGCTGGCTGGCGTCTGTTTTTAGCAACACTTATGACTGGAAGGAAAAAGTACTTAAAATATACCACCCTCTGAGACTTTTATTCCCTGTAAAACTGTCAGGCTTCTCACTCAGCTTTCTCTTTGGAATGAAGCATTTCGGTTTATTTTGGCAACCAGACGGAGCAACAAAGACCGACTTTCTCAGAGCTGCCTGGGTCCCTCCGATCAAAGCTATCTGCCGCTGGCTAGTGAGCCGGAGAAACTTGTCTGCCTGTCTCAAAGGAATCCAGGGGACCCGCTTTCCCCAGTCTGACCCCTGACAATGCATGGAGAGAGAACACCATCAGCTCGAGGAGATCACAAACAGCAAGGTGCACGGGGCAGGCACAGAACTGTAGGGACACCAGGTCCTGGTTCCCATTTGTCCTATTCTGCTGGAGCCAGCTTTAATAGAACATGGTCCTGGGCACCTGACTTCTCCATGGGAGAGTTCAACACAATCCTGTGGGCATTTCAGAGTGTGGGTCTGAAAGCATATTGTGTGTGTGTGTGTGTTCTAATTGTGGCAAAATAAACTGAACATAACATTTACCATGGAAACCATTTTTAGGTGTACGGTGGCATTCAGTATATTCCCTTGGTCATGCCACCATCTCCATCATCCATCTCCAGAACTTTCTCATCATCCCAAAGTGAAACTCCATACCCATTTAAGAACTCCCCATTCCTCCCACCCCCTGGGCCCTGGTAACCCCGATTTTACTTTCTGTCTCCATGAACTCCACTATGCGAGGTATCTCCTATAAGTGGCCCCATATATGTGTCTCTTTAGGTCTGACTTCCTTCACTTATGTTTTCAAGGCTCATCCGTGTTGCAGCACGTGTCAGGATTTTGCTTCCTTTTTAAGGCAGACTAATATTCCACTGCACATACATACCACATTTTGTTTCTCCGTTCCAAGGACATTTTCTGTTGCCAAGTGCCCTCTTCCAGGAGGCCTGCGTTTCACATTAGGCCTAGTGAGCTTCTTCCTCTGGGTTGCTTTCCTCCCACATTTATAGTTGTTAACACTTCAGCATTCATTTGCTGATGATCTTCATTTGCTAGGATTTTGCATGCTTTGCTTTTGATTTCCCCTACAGTTGCCGAGTTCCTTGAAGTCAGGAGATCATCTCCTATTTTCCATACATGACCCACCCGTCCCAATTTCTGCCTTGGTTCCATCCATGCCTTGTTCATCATGCAAGTCTGCAACAAGTGAGCCTTTAATAAATACTTCCAGAAATGAACGGAGAGTAAGTGCTTGCAACACATCACTTCTTGACTCATGAAATGGTAAATGGGCTCAGGAAGTAAACTTGCCTCCCTCCAGATACTAATGCTTTCTGAATTCCAGTGCTTTTCTTTTCCTTCCCCCTGAGCCTCAGTACTTCAGAGAACATGGCCTGACGGATGGGAGGAGACCTATAGCACTTGGAAGTCAGGCACAGGTGGCCAGCCTTGCCCAATGTTGCTCAAGCTTTTTTACTAAGAACATTCCTAGGGGGAGAGTGAGCAAGCCTCTGGGGCCCAGAGGTAAGCGTAGAACTCACAGAGGTCTCAGATTTTTATCTGAAAAAGGGCTACGGAGTTTACATTCTCCTCTGTTCAGCTTGGTTGTTAATATTAAAATGTTGAACCAGAGGCCCACTGGTAAGAATGGCGCACACATGCATCTCCAGTTCCACAGCTGGGACGTATGAGACCTCTAGTATCCATCTGACCCAGGCTGATGGCTTTTGTATCCATCTGACCCAGTCTGATGGCTACCTTGGATGCACTGGCTACATAGTATCTGAAAGAGGCAAGCGGTTTCCCTAGTATAAGAGGAGAAATGGTTTGCAGTCTTGAAAAGCGGCTGAAGAGACTCCGTGACACTTCCGGAGTGACCTCTGTCCATTTGAAACCAGTAAGGGGTGATAAAGGGACACGTGGGAGAAGGCCAGAGACCCATGGAGCCACCAGCCAATCAGGGCAGGTCTAGAAATATCTGAAAGAGGTTACAGTGCCTGGGGGTCAAACTGTTGTCACTGACATTTTTGTCTCTGGGGGTTGAGGAAGAGCCTGTCTTAAGCTCGTTGCTGTTGGGAGTCCTTTTTGTAAGGCAGCCTTAATAGGAGATACTCAGAAAAGGAAGGAAGCTTATCATTTCTATAAATGTTAAGTTCTGACCCAGATTTGCCTCTGGAGGATCAGAAAAGCACTCTTCACATGAAGCACACTGGAAGGGTCTTCGCCATCTGTGTTTCGGAAACCACGTAGTACATGGTAGCACAGGTCTTTGTGAAAAGCCTATGTTTTGGACCTAGAATTTGAAAAGCATATCTAAGAACTGCTTCAGAATAGGACCCTGGGTTTGTTCCGTGAGGCCCTTCACCACCTCCCTGCACCACTTCCTTGAGATGGTAATAAAGGCCAAGGCAAAATACAGATGGGGAGGTGAGAAAGCCAGCAAGCTGCAGCCTTAGGCTCTTGGGAGTTGTCAACGTTCGGTTCAGCATCCCCGATGGGCCTGTAAGCCACGTTATCTCTTGACTCAATCTATTCCCACAGCAGGGCATTCGGAATCTCCCTGAAACATCCAGAGCGGGGGCACGGTGAAGTCCCCCTGCATCTTGAGCCTCTCCATGGTGACACATGAGGGCCTCCCAGCTGACAGGCCAGTTGTCTTCAAAGCAGAGGTCTTTCTCAAACAAAAAGAGTCAGGAGCTACAGCAAGAGTGGAGTGCAACGTTTCCAGGCGGGAAGTTGGAGCTTCCGGGTTCTAGCCCCAGCTCTGCTACTGCCCTCCCCCTCCTTCAGCTGGCTACCTCAGCCCTCTCTGCACCTCCCATGGAGAGCCTCCTGCCAGAAGACGTTGGAAGACGCAGGAGCGGCCTCTCTGACCTCACAGAGCCACCCTGGCTCGGACCTTCTAAGGACTGCAATTTCCTACCAGCTGAATCAGAGCCTCACTTGACCCTGGTCTCTCCAGACCTTTCTTCTAAGGAGCTTCATATTCTGGCAAGCCTCTGGGCGGTCCACGGGGCACAAGAATGGAAAAATCTATAGCTAATAATAGTTCCTTGAATTACTACAGCTCTTTATTCTTTTAGCAGTACTTCTTAATCCATTACCACATTAAACAAAAGGGAAGTGAGAGGCAGGTGGGGTTGAGAGGTGTGTCAAGGCCAGACACCGTGCTCGAGGTGGGGCACCTCTTGGACCCCCACCGCCCCCAGCGCAGTGGAGCCAGGCTCCAGCCCTCTCTCCACGGTGTCTCCGCCTGAGTGGGTGTAAGCAGAGCGTGACACTGTGGGGGAGAGACAGCTCAAGGACACGAATATAAATGGAAATGAAGCAGCATTTCAGACCCACGGGGAAGCCCACACCACGAAGGAAAATTAGTAAACAGCCCTCCTCCCACCTTGCATCTGCTTGCTAGGTTCTTTTCTCTATTTTACGGCACACAGGCTTTCAAAACCTTAGGAGGAAGCCTCATCTACTGAATTTTGTACTATCTTGGATGTTGATCTTGGAAAACAGAAACCACTACCAACAACAAAAAAAATACCTCCAACACATTATCATCAAGCCAAGTGTCTCTTTCCCTGAGCTGAGAAAAGAGACATCTGGTTTTAACCAAGATGGCGTCCACCTACCACATCCGTGTTGGTGATCTTGGCCAGCAGGTCGACCAGGGCATCGCCAGTGAGCGAGCTCACGTCCTCATCCTGCTGGAGCCCACAGATGGCAGCTCCCACACTTCCAGTTGCAATCATCGATGGCGGGTACATGGCGAACTTAAAATCTGCGAGAACGAGAGCCCGAAGGTCAAGGCCCGGGAAGAATTTGGATCGCGGGGCTCCCCAGCCTGAAGATACTCAGAAATAGGATGGTGAAAAGTCAGCTGTACAGGTGACCCCTCACCCTACAGACACATCCTCTCCTGAGTCTTCCTTCACAAAACACCCTTTCTTTATTTGCCGTCACTGTGGCGGGCCCAGAGCTAAAATGGGGAGACGGAGGCAGAGAAGGTGGAGAGCTTATCTGAGTGCACATAGTAAATTCTCAGAGACGAGACCCAGATCCCCACAATCCTGCCTGGGGTCAGCATGTGTGCAAGGGGCAGGAAGGTGAGTGCGGTACATTCTCCTCTGGGGGTCATGGCAGGAGCAGGGCAGGGATGTCTGAGTTGAGTCCAGACAAGGTAACTTATGTGCCATACAAGTGAGACAGACCAAGGGATCTAGATGGTGGAAGGCAGGAAAAGCATAAGCAAGTAAAATTTTATTAAGAACAATAATCCTGATGTGATCTTGCCCTATTATTTTGTGGACAGTCAGTCAACAAGGACTAATATGGCGCAAAACAAAAGATGACTTCATTTAAAAAAAAAAAAAAGGAAGTGAGAGAAGCAGTAATCAAGGGGATGAGGGCCAAGTTTCACACAAATCCCCAACTTCTAGCCCAATGCCAAGGACCCTTAGAACATGAGGAGGGAGAAAGCAGGTATTAACCAGTATTAACCACTGCATCCTAATCAGATGGATGACTTGGTTAGATTTTATGGCTCTTGGGCCCAAAGGTCCTATATTCTTGCTGGAAAAAAAGAGTGGTTTGCTAAAGAGAAGTACAAAATGAGGATAAATTTAAGGAGCTCAAACACTCATCCACTTTCATTTCTCCAAAAGCAAACAGAGGGGATGTTCCTATGCTCATATGCTCCTCAGCTTGGGAGACGAAACCCCTCAGGTTCCTCTGAGTGCTGCCGCAAAGAGGCTGGGTGACCAAGATCACCTACTTCCCAGTTACCAGGAGGACAGAAGGACACCCGCACCTGACTTCTGTTGCTGCCCTCTAATAGCTGCTAATGACCCACGTGTACAGTCCCGTCTGAGTTATATGCCAGCTAATTCACACAACCACCATATAAGCTGCGCACAATTACCCCCATGTGGTGGATGAGAAAGGGCAGGCTTCTGAGAGCTGAAAGTGCCCTTTCCCGCTCCTTGTGCTGATATGGTAAAGAGGTTACTCCAACACTCATTTTAGTCAGTCCTGGAGTGGAGCAAATCCTCCACAATGTGCTACCTCTGGTTCTAGCATTACTCCAGAGTTTACTGCCTATACCTGTGCGCGGGGGGAGGCAGGAGGGAGGTACAGAGGGGGGACATGGGTCACACTTCAAATTACAGCACCACCATGAGCCTGAGCTATAAAAACAATGTGACATAACATTTTCCCTTCTTCCTGAACTATAAAAACAGTGCAACATAATATTTCCCCTTCTTCCTGTCCAATGCCCTATTAAGCCACATATTCCATTAAAGCACTTTCATAGGTGACCCCATGGTCCAGCAGCAAGTTGGTGGTGTTCTTAGCAACACGGCTGATTCACTGAACCATGCACACACCTCCCATCTTGGCCGAATCCCATGAACGGAGCAAGCCTGGCCTTCTGTCAGTCTGTCTTTCTCCTTGGCTTTCTTTCCTTAGCCCACTCACCATTTCTACCTCTTGAGGGATGTATATCACAGCGTTCCGCCCCAAGCCTGCCGTCCACTTGTCTACTAACTCCTCCCGTGTCTTCTCTATCCCCAAGGATGGTGCCAAAGGCGGCCTCCCTGCATCCCGCTCTGCTGTAGGTCTCCTCCACATGGGCTCACAGGAGTGTTTCTCTGCCCAATAACCTCGTTAGCTTCCCCCTGTGACATTCATAATGCAGACAAGGCAGCCAGCCCATGGCCTTGGGCCCATCAAGGCCCTGGGTGGGAGCCTCTGGCAGGGAACGACAGTAGGATATCCCTGGCCCTCCCTTTCCTCTGTCCCAGGCCTCCGACCAGGAAGCACACCTCACACATGCCTAGCTTTTGTTGTCCCACTGCACGCAAAAGTGACTCCTAATTTTAGCAAACTAATTAACTTCTGGAAGCCAGGGGGTATATACGGGTGGTCCCTGGGTGCAGCAGGGGCTAAAGTTGCCAGAAGGACTATACCTCGCCCCTTTCTTGTTTTGCTAGGAAAATGCTGAGGGGCATCCTCCCGGGGATACTGTCGCCTGCCTCCCAGAAATGGGGAGCATTGCGCAGGCTGGGTAGTTCTCCCCCCACCAGGAAAGAGCTGCGGGAAGCCGGGCGACCACTACACTGCCCCTCTGCCACCCACCGCGGTAGCAAAGCACAGTCTTCCTTGAGATTCCCGAGCAACTGCGAGGCTCTCCTCCGGTTAAGTCCAAAGGTGACATTAGCATTACAAGCCCGGTGTGGCTGTGGGACCTTGGGTGAGTCACTTCCTCCCCCAGCCCCTGGCATTCCGTTTGTCTAATAAAGGGTGGGGTTGGATCAGTGTTTTTCTAGCTTCTAGTTGCAGCTCACTGTTGGGTCATGAAACCCGGTGGTGGGTTGTTTTTGTTGCTGTTTAACTGAACAGGATAGAAAGTATCAGGAAGTAATCATGTAGTAAGAGTAAATACTGTCTTGAGAAACTTTCGTAGCAGTTTGATGTCCATTTATGTATATCCTGAGTTGTGTTATAAAATGTATTTCTTTCTTCGTGGTTTAGGTCAAAGGCTGGCTAATCCCCCAGGTGCCTTCCAGCTCTATTTTGCTCTTCCTTAAGGCTCTAAAATGAGAACCACTCCCAAGAAAAGAAGCAAGCATCAATAGAACGGAGCATGGCTTCCACTGGCCGGGGAGTCACAAGGCCTCTCTCACCACAGAGAGCAGTGATAGTTCTGCATGACCTCAGGGGCTGCCCCAGGACCCTGCTCAGGGACACCCCCCTCTCTGTTGGGAGGGGAAACAGCAGAGAGAAAAACACCTGAATAAAACATCTGAAGGGTCGTGTCCTCTTACTAGCTCTACTTACCTAACCTCTGCACTCACCCATGGAAAGTTTCACCCAACCTACTCAGCCACTCCTGGAAACCTTAAACTCTGGCGACGTAACTGGACTGAAAACTGTTCAAACTTACCACTTGGATGGGGCGGGGGCGGGGGGAGCAGAAAAATCAAACGTCATGCATGCATGCTATGACCAAGATTACAACTTTCCAGAAATAGATGCATAAAAACACATATATGCCCGTGCATGTGACTGAAGTAGGAGGAGTCACAGAAAACGTATATAAACGTTCCCACTCTTGAGATGGAAGAAATGTTAAGTAATTTTGTAAAACTTTCTCCTCATATTATTTTATTCCAGCAAAAATAAAATACCAAGTAAAAAATCTCTCTGCAATCTCTACATCTCTTGGTCAAAAATACCAACGAGCTATATGTTGGGGCAAAAGGCATATTCAGGGAGTAAGGGTTTATCTCTACCCTCCGTTGCCTGCCCAAAATGGTAAGAGGTGACTTCCTGAGACCCCTCCTTCCTCCGCAGCATTGACCAGTGATGGGTTCCAACAGAGTCGTCACAAGTAAGGATTAATCCCCACCCCCACCCCCGAGGTAAAAACGTAGGAACAGAACCCAGCACAGTGCATTCTAAATGGCTAGGTGCACACTGCATGGGTAGCCAGTAAAGACACCTCTCAAATGAGTAAATAAAAAAAAAAAGACACTTCTCAAAAGAAAGGGGGTGCTCGAGGGGACAGGAGCAGGAAGATACTTAGGAGGACTCTCTGAGGACATGGGAAGCATTTGGGCCAAACAGCACCAAGAACTGGAAGCTGGAGTATGGGGAGGCCGCTGTCCTACCCCCGGCCAGCTGTGTGAAGATGGTGCAGTTACCTGACCTCTCTGAGCCTGCATCTTCCCACCAGCATATCAGGAGAAGAAGTGTACTCACCTCATAGGGTTGTTCTGAGGACAGGACTAATCCATGTAAAAACACAGTGCCTGGCTCCTGGCAAGCCAGCAGTGTCCTACCACTATTCTGACCATGGGAACCTTCTCTGGGACTGTGAAGGATAATCCTGACCGTTGGGAGATGCTGTTCAGCATCGGCAGGCATTAGGAGGAAGGTGTCCCGCATCCCTCGGCTACAGGCGGATGCTGACAGTAGGCCAACCGTGCTGAGACCGCCGGGAAGAATGAGGTCTCTGGGCTGCCTGGAGAATCTTCCCCTATTACTTGTGTTCTGTGTCCCAGAAATGACCTCATCGAGTCCCCAAAGCCTCATGCTGGTTTGTAAGGAGTGGGAGAAACCGAGGGCCCTCGTATGATGAATGCAAGAATCCCAGCTCTACTGGTCGCTTACTCATCCAAGTAGTAGTGGTGAGGTATTAATAAAAACCAACGTAAAACTCATCGGTTTCAAAACGCTGCTTCCTTTTACAGGTGAAATCAATGAATTCTTTTTGGGGGGCAGGGGAGAGAGAGAGAGCATGTGAGTGCAAGTGAGGGGGGCAGGAGGGGGCAGAGAAAGAGGGAGAGAGAGAATCTTAAGCAGGCTCCACACCCAGCATGGAGCCCGACGCAGGGCTCGGGTCTCACGACCCTGAGATCACGACCAGAGCTGAAATCAAGAGTCAGACGCTTCACCGACTGAGCCACCCAGGCACCCTGAATCGATGAATTCTTGACTTGTCTAATCCCCGATCCTGGGCCTGGGGTTAAGGTTGAGACTTTCGGACTGTGGACCCAGTGCTCTTTATAACTTACCAGAATGTGAATAGCTCCTCAAGCCACCTCCCACATCCCACGAAGGAATACAGGGTGATTTTCCTATCAGAAGTGCAAGAAAAGCCCCCCAAAGCAAGCCCTGGTCAGAGAGATAGGTCCTAGCCATGGCACCAGCAAGCTGTGTGACCTGCACAACCCACTTAACTTCCCAAGACCGCCATAGGCACTCCTGGGGTCCAACTGGGCTCCTTAATCTGGACAAGGGCAGCGAGGGCTCCACATTCATAGACTTGGTATCTGCACGCCTTGGTAAGATTTCACTGAAGAAAGAGCTCTGAGCTAAGCTGGTCTGAAACCACAGATTAGATGGCCCTGCACATAAGTTTAGCGCGAATTGTTTTGGCTATGGTGACGGAGACCTTGAAGTCCAAGAGTGACCGCTATGCTTTGGATCACCACTAGGGGGCGAGAGAGACTTGCTCGGAGGCTGAAGAGAAACAGGGCCGCCCCAGTCTCTCCCCTTCCTCCAACCTGCAGCAAGGTGGAAGTTAAAAAGGCCAGGATCGTGGATGCTCATTGGCCAACCGAATGCTGGGAGCAGCACACACCTCACCTACCACCCCCGGAATAGGATGCGCGCATGGGGCAGGAACTGCCACGCCAAGCTGATGGCAATGTAAAGCCAAAGGCCTCGGTGGGAGGAGGAGGGGAGGGAGACGGCTGGAGAATAGCAAGCAGCCTGCCCCTCATTCATTTTACAGTCAGATGGCAAGTGAGAGAACCTTGTCCCACTGCCTGTCCCCATGGAGGGCCCGTGCAGAGGAGACTGCCACTTCCCCTCGGCTCCACACCCTGTCAGCTATGGAGGCAGTGCAGGGGCTCAGAGAGGGGAAGGTGGTCTAAATTCTTCCCACCTGGCAACCACCAGGGCACACCTCCCTTTTTGGATAAGGGGCCCAGTCACCTACCCTCTCTGGGTCCCAGCTATGATTACACCTCATGATGGAAGGTCATGAAGCATCTTTAGGGAAAGCCTGGAAGACTGGGAACACAAGAAGTATTATCATCACTGGGGCTCGGACCTTGGGGTCAGGAGCCTTGGGCGGGACGGCTCACGGGCATGGTGCAAAGAGCTTATTAGCCCAGCACCTTGAGGTGGGGCCCTGGGCAAAAAGAGGGACATGTGGGGTGCCACGGGCCTGGGAGGTTAAGCACCTCCACCCCACCCCCACACCAAGTTCAAACTCAATGTCATTGGCTTTTCTAGACTAACTGGAAGCATCTGTTGAGCATGATATCATGTATCAAGAATCTTCCAGTGCCGAGTGCGATCCTGAGTCATCTTCCATGGTCCTTCTTTCCTCATCTGCAGACCTGGGGGACTCTACCATCAGGGCTACAACCAGGGGGACACTGAGGCTCAGTTCTGCTTCCCCAGGATCCAAAGCTCCAGGAAAGGGGACGCCAGGGGCTGGCAGTTATGAAGGTCTACTTCTCACCCCAGTGCCTCCACGGGCCACGACTGGCCCTGACAGGGACACCGGGCAGTTGCAGGTGGTCTCTCCCGCCAGAAGCCATTCTGAGCTGAGGCGGGAGGGGGTAGGAGGGTGCCTCTCTGCCCGGCCCTCTTACCCTCTGGCTGGCAAGGAGAACTGCAGCTTCCCTCCCCTTCTCACGGCCCCTCTCTGCTCTCCTGCCCTCCCTCTTCCCCTTTCACACACACACACACACGCACACGCACACACACACACACGCACTCCCCACACAGACTACAGGACGAGTGCCAGCTCATTCACAACCAGCTCTCCCCATCAATTGGCCACACCCCCCAGGGTTGGCGACCACCTCCTCAGGGCCCACTGTAGGCCTGCCAGACCCTGGCTACAGGTGCCTCTTCGGCTTCCGGGCAGAATATTCAGGGCTGGGGGGACCAGGACGGAGCTGGGAGGCGCACAGAGCAGACGGGACGGCCTCGGTGTCACCACCTACCTTTGGTTCTCAGTTACCTTGCGCCCGCTACTTGCCAGGCGGGCTTAGGCCCTCAACCATCTGTCACACCCTGGCCCCACCCAAAGTGCAGCATCTCTTCTAACTGGAAGATCTTTCCTCCAAGAAAAGCAGCCTTTGGCTTTGATGGCCATCAGGCCAACTGCTATGAAACTCCCCACAGTGAGGACGCTATTTAACCCAGTCCTTCACACAGACTCAAGCACAGATCGAGAAAGAAAAGCCTTGTGAGACAGACCCATCCTTGCCAGACTCAGGAAACTTCTGAGAAGCGCCCCCCACCCCGCCCCCTTGCTCTGACCAGTCCACACCTAAAGCTGAGTACTTGGCTTGTGGTTTTTATTTGGTTGGAGTTATTCCTTCTAATCCTTCCTCACTTCCTGTCCAAGTCTAGCTCAAGTCTCCCAAAAGGCAGTCTTTGTGACTTCCCGTGCCACCCCTTGGGCCTCTGTCCTCAGGGCCCGAGGCCCAGGCTCCTCACTCTGGCCGCAAGTTGGCAGCCACCCCAAGGATCTAGGCAAGAATATCAGAAGCGGGGGATGGGATCCCCAATTTTAGAGAATGGGCCTTTACAGAATCTGGGGATCTACCCAGGCCTGGGTGATCCCACCCACCATCTCCACCCCAATCAGAGATGAGAATGGAGGGATGGGTGGACAGACCCCAAAAGATCTGTCAGTCAAGAGACAAGGTCAAAGCAGAACTCTGGCTAACAGCTGGGCAATGGGGGAGCTTAGGGTCAAGGGGTCAGCTGTCCTAGGGCCAGAGAAAAAAGGACTGGTTGACCCCTCCCCCACAGTGAATCATGACAATGGAGAGGAAGGGACAGCCCGGGCCTGGGAGACAAAATGACAAGTCAATGAGGGACTGACCTCTAGGGCCCCAGGCCAGACAGCAGAAGAGAGGAAGCAAAAGAATGGTTAGGCTACTGTCTAAAAGGCAGCAAGGTATACACAGGGGTTCTGAACAACAGCGCCCTTGGGGCTACGGGAAGGGCAGCTCACTCTCCCACAAAGGGGCCCAGGGCACATACACATGCCATGGGACGGGTTTGGATCTGGAAGGGCAGCACCGCAGAAAACCAGTGGGACAAAACCCATGCCCGAGCATCCAATGTGCATGTCAGGGAATCCTACATTCCAGCCAGTGAAGGCAGAGCAAGGGGTCCTGCTGGATTTGGATATAGTTACAAGTGGGAGACGGTGGCATTTTCCCACAAGTAGTACCACAACCCACTATCTACACATTCCTTCGTTCACCAAGTACCTCCTTGCGTGTGTCTCTTTCTGATTTTCCTTTTCCTAACCACCCTGAAAAGGCTGTAAGATCATGCATCCCCCAGGTGTGTTTTGCAGATGGAAGCTGAGGTTCAGAGAGGTTAAGCAGCCTGTCCAAGGTCAGCCAGTGAGAAGTAGCAAAGCCTGACCTTTTGACTGAGAACAGAGCATATACACTTTTGCATACTGTGTGATCCCTCTGTACTCACTCCTGAATACCATGTAACAAGACAGTGAAAGGAGTTAACCTCCCCCCAGTCCCAACTACAAAATTCAACAACCTTTGGCAAACTGGGGCTAATCCCTCTGCACCCCAGCCCTCCCCACTCTCCCACCAACCTCCCACCCCCAAACCAAAGATCTGCCCACATGGTCAGTTCTTCACCTATGGTGCCTCTCCCCTAGATGATTAAGGTTCCAGGGTCTCTCCCATGGCCACTACCAAGAAAAAAATGGTAGAAACTGGCCAAGGTTCAGTTTAATGAGACAGTGTCAAACTACTGCCTTTAGTTTATTAGGGAAATGCAAAGCAAATGGGCCAGTAAGAACTATGTATCAATCGTGGGATCAACAGGGTGGGTGGAAAGCTTTTAATATAAAAAAGCCAGTTGTGATTGCTATGTTAAAGCTTGCAACCAAAATCAAAATACCAGCACTTGAAGCGAGGGCATCAGAACCTAGTGCTCAGAACGGGCGTCCTTGCTGAGAGCCAGCCAGGTTTACTCCCCCGTCCAGCAGAGGGAATAGCTACACATATGTGCCCTACAGTAAAGAGAACTCCTTTGGCCTCCCTTACTGCTTATCAGGGCAAGCCGCGTATTTATCTTGACAGTGTTCCTTTAACCTATATTTGCCCCCACCCCCCAAATTTCCTCTTGGGCTTATCTCCAAGCCATCCTTTTCCTCAAAAGATTAAAGATTTAAACACAACCAGACAGCAGCATATATAATCTTCAAAGAGCACTTTAGACATCATAAAGAATTATTTTAACAGGCACTATTTTTTTTTCCCTTAACCACACCTGTCGTCATAAACCATTTATGAGTTTAGCAGAGAAAAAAGAATATACCAGCTCAGATAAAGTTAGGAAAACACAGCCGGGGCATGAAACCTGGTACTCTAGGTTACCCGGGACCACCCATCTCCTAAGCCCCCCAGGCCCATGCCAGGTAGTACCCCCGTGAGCCTCCCCTTGACCACCCCCCAAAGGGCTCTTCAGCCTGTGTCCACCCCTCCCAAGGCCCGCCCCTCCGGCTCCCGCCTGCTCCTACCAGTGGCACACAGAGCAATGAAGGTCTGCGCGTGCTTGCGGATCAGAGACAACTTCTCACTCGGCTGGGGCAGCTTACGAAGGATGTGCTCGATGAAGTCGTGAGGAGTGACGGCCGCCAGGTTCCACTTCAATTTCCCCAGCACCACCAGCTCCCACTCCTGAGGAGGGAGGGAGGGAGGAAGAAGGAAGAGAAGAGTATAAAACCCAAAGGCTGACCTAGTGTCCGGGCAGTGGCGGGGGGCGGGGAGGGTATGTTGGGATCCAGACCCATTTTAAGGATGCTCATGAGAACGCTGCTGGATGGGGAGGCGGGCCCATTTGTCCAAGTGCCCCCCAAAGCTTGGAAACTGTTGGCGTCTCTTCTTAGGCTTCCGGTGGCAGGCGCGACAGGCAATGAGGGCCCAGGTAGCTGTTGCCAAGACTCTATTTTATCCTATTTCTTTTCCTCTTCGGCTTCCCCACCCCTGGCCAACCCTGACTTGCAGGCAGTGCTGTTGCCTGCCCACCCAGAAAGCTGAACCTAAGAAAAGATACTGCCAAGGTCATTGTGGCCCTTAGGTAGTAATTTATTGTCTATGTCTCTATTGCTGGATTAATAGTCTTTTTAATCCTCATGGAAAAATGATGCACACAGATAAAAGCTCAAAATAAGGTTCCTGGGCCCAACTCCTTGGCAACCAATTAGCTGACTTGTAGTTGGTGCCAAAAAGTGCCATTTTTCTCTGCTTTAAAACTTTCCCCTCCACACATAATGCAGAAGCCTTGGGGAAAGGACACTCAGCCACAGAGTGCCCTTTCACCTAAATGTTTCATAGGTCTTTGTCATCATGACTGAAGGACCCACTGGATGGTGATTAGCAACCCCATGTTGCGGGGGGGGGGGTGATTGGGGCAAAGTGAAAGTGCTTGTGCACAGTCAACGGAATCCCTCCGTTCAATGCCGAGGGGGAACAATGCAACCCCGTCTCTCATGGGCTTCTCACCACCAGCCCACTTCGTGAAAAACTTCTTCTCTCCCTTATTGGGATACATTTGGGGACTTATGTTCAAAGTAAAACAAGCCAAAAAGGAAACCCTAAAAGTATGTGCAGTTAGAGGGAAAACGGATCTGTCCATTAATTGTCTTCAGAAGAAAGAGAGGCAGAGACCAGCGTGCATGTGCACCCTGCTCCCCCATTTGCCCTAAAAACCCCCAGGCTCTCTTCCATTTGCTAAGCCAGCAACCACAGCCCCCAGGCCCCTCCTGTAGCACCAAGTGGTTGTGTGATCTGGGGTAACTCCCTTCCCCTTGCTGGGCCTCAGCTTTCTCTGGTGTAAAATAGGACTCCTCCGGATCCCAGCCTCTAGGATAACGAAATAGGGAATGGAAAAAAAGGCAGGGTTTTGCGGAGCAATATTCATTAGCTTGTCTGGTCCTGGAAAAAACTGGGGTGTCCTGAAGAACACCACGGTCCACCATCACGTTGAAACAAATGAACCAAATAGAAGATTCATTTTCCTGGTCTCCCATGAGAAAACAAACTAGTAATGAATTCTAACAATTTTTCCTTTACATTCTTTTAAGTCTGCCTTGGCTTTTTACAGAGGGTTGGGATGGGAAAAAAAAAAAAGACAAAATTATTAAACAACCAGTGTCTTCTAAGATGGCTTGAAATTCCAGCCCTTTCTTCTCACAGGGGAATGTGAGTATGAACCACTCGTCTTGTACTGTTATTAAAGGAAGCAGATCTCCTAGAAGAAAGCACCTTTCTGGGCCTCCCGGACCAAACCAGAAGCAGCTGAAATCTGGCAGTGGTTCAAAGGTGAAGTCATTCATGCCCCTCTCGACATTCCCCGCAATTCCTCCCCCATCCTTGCACATGTCTGCCACTAGATGGCAGCACAGCCCCAGAAAGGAAGACCTCTCACAAAGAGCTCAGTTCTAGCAGCCAGTCCCAGCCCTGTGGACTTTGTGCAGGCCTTGCCAGTACAGAGGGGGAAGGGGGGGCTAGAGGGGGCCCCCTTTTCCAAACAGTTTAGAGAAAGGTGGGCAGACCACGGAAGGTGGGCCTGGGAGCCACTCTACCATTCCAGACTGCTGCAACATGGACGCCTTAAGTGTGAAGCTGCAGGGGAAAAAAGAGTTAGATGGTGGGGGGGGGCGTTGGGGAGGTTTGCTGGCAGAAAACCAGAGTCAAGAGAGGACCCCTGTCATCGGACAGAGGTCACAGCCTCACTGGAGCTAGGAACCCAGACCTCAGATTCCTCCAATAAGAGGCCACATTGTGACTTGGCTCCAAAGTCAATGAATTGATATTTAGTGAACAGCTACTATGTACAGGTATCTTGAGGGTTTATAGATAGTACCTTTGAACTCCGGATTCTTAGGGGACACATCACAACACACTCTTATCATATGAAGACCTTCCTACCATGTGAGAAGTCGAACTATTCTGTCAGAATTCAGTGGTTGAAAATTTGGAATTTAATTAAAATGTTATCACTGTGTCCCAAGTCTCCCCTACACATACACACACACACACACACACACACGCACCCGCACACACAACTGCAAATGAATTTCACCCACAGAAATGTCTCAGGCGATCTTATTCATGGATGTATCCTCAGTGCTTAGCACAGTGCCTGGCACACAGTAGGAACACAAAAACATTTCATATTAAAAGCGCTGATTCCTCCAAGTGTGAAAATTCCAGCGGTGTGGTAATTTGGGATCCAAAGGACTCGTTTGGGGAGCAGTGGGTAGCAGCTTATCAGGCGTGGAGAGAGCAAAGAGGGAAGGACGCATAGAAAGGGGGAAGAAAGGAGAGGGTCATTACCAGCAGCTCCTGAGGCTTGATGGAGTTGTCAGTATAAATGCACAACTTCTCCGCCGTCAGAGGGATGGTCTCTTTGAGCTTGGAGGCCAGGAACATGCAGACAGCACCCAGGAGCTGAAGATGGGTCTTAGGAGTTGGGACTCCAGCCAAGAAGCGGTCCAGGTAATTCATGGCCAAAGGGAAGACCTCCTCTTCACACTTCTGTTCCTCGCAGACCTACAATGGGAGCGGGGAAAGGGTTGGGGGGAAAGGGGGTAGAGGGAATAGTACCAGGAAAAGACAAAAAAAAAAAAATGAACAGGCATAACCTATGGAAACAAGCAAAAATATTTAATTTTTGAGTGGGGAGGGGGAGGGGAGTAGAATATGTGATAAGAATAAAAATGAGGAAAACGGGATAAATCTAAAAAACCCATCGGCGCTGGGGTATTCCCCAGCAACGTAAAAAAAAAAGAGGGGAATTGAAGATCCGACCCGGGAAGGCAAACACACGCGCAGTAGCCGCCCGGCTCTGCGACGCTCCCTTTGGCTACTGACTTCTTTGCTCACTCTAACTCACTCACACTCTCTTTTTTGGATTTCGTCATCTTTTCAAAAAATCAATAAAAATATTCTGGAAGCTCCGGGGGTCTTCTTCTTGGTCTCATTCGGACCCTCGGACCCTGCTCTATCATTCCCGACAATTGGAAAAAATGTCCGGGGGGGTCCCTGCAGCCCAGGCGCCGCTATTGGGGGGGTGGGTGGGGAGAGGTGGGGAAGAGAGGGGGAGGGAGAAGAGGAGGAAGAGCCGCAGTCTCGGCGGCTGCACTCGGAGCATGGGGAGACGGTTTCAAAAAATAATTAAAAATCGAGGCAATATCCTAGAAAAGCCCTTTTGGCGTGAAAACCCCAAAGAGGATCCAGGCTTCCCGAAACGGAGATTTCGGGTGCCGGAAAGGTCTGTATCTCGACCCCTGGGGCTTTGGATCCCGAGGGGAAACTTGGAGGGGTGAGCGCCGCGGCGGGAGTGTCCGGCTGCGGCCCACAAGGGCAGAAACTGGGGATCGTGGTGACGAGCTGGGGGAGAACCGAGGAACGGGGAGCCACCGGAGAGAGGCACGGGGCGCTCTGACCTCTCCTTTAGGGGTGCCCCGACATCCCCCCCTACACACACCTCCTCCTCCCCCCCCTTCCTACCCCACCCAAATCTCCGCACCGAGGAAACTGGAAAGCCAAACTGTAAGTAACCTTCGTGAGGTGGGGGTCGGGGGAGAGGGCACTATTACAAGTGGGGTGGCCGGCATAATGGGGTGTGAGGGGGGAGCGGGCGACGTTTTCCAGCCTTTCCAACCGGAGTTTGCAAAGCAACATGGCGAAACCACGGCAGGTCCAGAGCTGTGCATACGTGGGCACACGGCTTGCTCGGCAAAGATTTGGAGCAAGGGTAAAAAAGTGGTTCTTTTGGGTTCCCCTAAAACACACGTTTCTCCATTGCGACTTCCGGGGCTCCTGAATTCTCCGTTTCTCTCCTCCTCCCTCCTCCCCCTCCCTCTTTCTCCCCCCCCCCCTTAAGTGCCAACGCGGAGTCGCGACCACATGCGGGGACCTGAGGCTAGGACGAATTTGCTCTGGCCTTTGGGGGGGCTACTTTTTTTTTACTTTGGGGCCCCGATTTCACACTCCTACTCCCTTCTTCACAGCAGGGAAAGCAGCCGCGGCTTCGCAAAAGACAGGTCGGGATGGGGGTGGGAAGAAGAGTCAGCCACATGCAGGCACACGCGCGCGGGATGCTCCCCCACCCCCGCCCCAGGACAGCCTCATTTTTCCCAGATTTTCCTCCTCCCTCCCCTTTCACCCTCCCCTCCCCCAGTTAGTCTTGCATCCTGCAGGGAACAGAAATGAAGCCACGCGTCTCGCCAAAGGGCGCGGGGTAACCACGCGCACGGGAGCGGGGCGGCGAGCGCGGAGCCTGCCCTCTCCCAGTTTTAGGGTCCCTGCGCTGGGGGGTGGGGGGGCCGAGTATCCGGATGGGGACAGACGGAGTCTGTCTGCAGACCTACCTCCAGCATCCAGGTGGCCACCATCCTGCGCATGTAGGGCTGGATGTCCTTCTGCACGCATTTGAAGTAGGAGCACTGGGGAAGGTAGCGCTCCTCGATGGTGAGCAAGTTCTGCAAAACGCGGTCATCGTAAAGCAGGTTGGCGTCTGGCACGGCCCTGCGGACCGGGTCCACCTCGCAGCACAGCAGCTCCATGGCCAGCCGGGTGCCCGCTCGCTTCCCTGCTTTCTCCGGACTGGAAAAGTTGGGGGTTTTTTGGAGGGGGGAGGGGAGAGGGTTCCCCTTACCTCCTTCCTTTGGCTAAATAGGGGGTTTTCGAGAGAAAAGTTATGGGGCAGAGAGAGAGAGAGAGAGGCTGGGGGAGAAGAGAGGAAAGGGATGGGCGGTGGGAGAGGAGAGCCTCGGGGGCTGCTAACTCTGCCTGCCCTCCCCTTCAAACTTGTCTCGCTCTCCCCTGCTCGCTCTTCTCTGCTCTGCGAGGCAGTGACGCAAACTGGCTGGGCAGTTAGTTCTCCTCCCTCTCGCCTCGCTCCCCTCTCCGGTTCCTCCTCCCCTTCCCTCCCCTCCCGTTCCTCCCCTCCTCCTTTCAATCTCTCCCTCCCTCCCTCCTTTCCCCTCTTGTTATTAAGGAGAACAGCAGCTGGCCCGACCTAACTTCAAACGCGGTCCCCCGCCCCCCCACCCCTCTCCTTAGCTCTCCGAGGCCCTCTCCCTCTATCCAGCCCCGCATGCCAGGGGCCCCGGATAGGGGAACCCACAAAAAACACACCGATTCCTATTTATTCCCTCTAATTTCGCACATTCTGTGGGTGTATCATGCCAAATTACGACCCTCCAACTTTGGCTTTCTGAACATTGATCTTTCCACTCCTGCCCATGTATGTAAGATCCAAGAAATGACGGGTAGATCACTTGAAGATGGGGTAGGCTCGTGCAATTTAGAAACAGATCCCTTAAGTGAAGACTAAGGAGGGCGATTTTGGAAAATAGCAACCTTGGATATCCAGAGATAAAGGCTCTGTCCCGGACGTTTGAGTTCCTGATCACTTCGAGGCTGTTTCAAAAGCCCGATTAAAGGGGCCAGAACAACGTCCCCCCTTCCCCCACCCCCGCATGTGTGTGTGGAGAGGAAGAAGAGGAAGGGGTGGGTGTTAGGAGGGAGGGGGCGGCTTCTCCGACGTGATAGAATGTGACCCTAGAGCAGAAACCCTCCCCTTCTTGGGGGCGCTACAGGCGCCACGGGGAGCAGCGGAGAGGCGCCCAGCGCTGCCGCAGGCCTTGGAGGGGGGGGATGCAGGGCTACCATAGGTTGCTCCGCGGCCCGCGGCCACGCAGGAAAAACCCGCTTCCTTGCCCCTGCATCTGCTGACAAGCCGCCCGAGGTGTCTGCGCCGAGCGTGGCCACACTGATACAGCTTTCTAGGAAATAGCCCGGGAGGGGGAGGGGAGGGGGGCGAGGGAGGGATTAGGTTTGGCTCCCCCCCTCTCCCCCTGCGCAAACAACACCACCCCTTCCTTTCCCCGGAGGCCCAAGACTTCCACCCTGTGTCCTTCGCTTTGCATCCTCGCCGACCCCTCCGGGTTCACGCCTCACCCGCCAGCCAGGGCTTTCTCCCCGGCAGCGGGATTGCGGTGGAGACGCTGCCGGCGCAGTCGGCTCTGACATGTGCTCAAATGCATCCCCGGGTCAAGGCTGCTTTTACAGGGGATATGGTGGCGTTTCCTCACCTCCTTCCTCCCTCCACCCCACCCCCCAACTTTCAGTGTTATTTCACTTTGGGGGGAAGGGGACAGAGCCCGGCGCCCCCAGCAAGTTGGCCGAGTTGACACGTGCAGGGAGCATGGCGTGGGTCAGGGCTCGGGACACACCGTGGTCGGCCGAGCACCTCCTTCACCAAGAAAGGGTGCCCGAACCCGGGCGTGGAGAGCTAGCGGGGTGGGGGGGAAGGCTGGGTGAGCTGTACACTTGGTTCCCTGAAAGGAGGCGGGGGAGTGGAATAGAGAAGGAGGGGAGGGAATAAACCAGAGGTGCTAGCGATTAACTCGGGCCCCGGGGCCAGCCCCTTTAAACGAGGGTGGGGCGGAAGGGGTGGGGGGAGGGAAGGGGGGGATATCGCTTTAAAAGGGTGAGTAAGAGTTTGGGGCGCCGTCTCCCCTCCCTCTATTTGCATAGCCAATAGCTCTGGGGCTCCTGCTACTGCGCGCTGATTGTTACCGGGCAGATTACTTTTTTCTTTTTTTTTTTCTTTTTTTTTTTTTTTTTTTTTTTTAGTAGGACGCGTTCCCCGCTACATCAAAAGGAAGCCAAGGGAGGGCGGAGGGAGAGTGGGGACTGGGGCGGGCGAGGGCTCGGGAGAGGCCGGGGCGCCTGCGACCTTATCAATAGCCGAGAGAATTAGTATCCAATCTACCGTAGGTAAAGAAAGGGGAGGGAAGAGGGAGGGCGAGGAAAATGTCTAATTGCTGTGGAAGCCATTAGCTTTCGGGAAGAAAAAAGCTCACTGAGAAACCCAAGTTGCAACTCAAAATGAAACAGTCCTGCGCAGCGGATGACACTCAGGCTGAGTACAGTGTTCCTCGGAATAGAGTCGGTTCCTAACAATTACCTATTGATTTTAGTCAACTTGGACTTCCCGACTCAAGCTTGAGTCACTCCGGATAAATATATTAACTTACATTTTAAGACCCCATAAAGGAATTACTCAAACTTCACCTCAGCCACCTATGAGCCGTTCAAAGAAAGCTGCTGGGGAGGTGGGGGGGGGCGGTGGGGGTGAGAGAGGTATTTTTAAAGTATAAATCGAGCCCGACAGGCAAGGACAGAAGTCGGCGAAGGCTTCCAGCCTCTTGACATCACTTGATAACTAACCCAGCATGGTCTTCTCTCCACCTCCCTGCAGGAAAAGCATCCCCAGCCCTGGGGCTCCTGAAGTGGGGAGGAGAGGGGGAGGGGAAGAGGCGGGTGGTCGTCCTCCGGGCCTGGCCCACCCTGGGGAGAGAGCCTGGGTGGCGACGTCTCAAATCTCGGAAGCGAGCCGAGGGCCCTCTCGCCCCTTCCCTCCCCTGTACCCCCACCCCTACCCCCGTCTGGCTTCCCGGAGAAATTCCGGCGGGGCGCGGGACTGGGGGAGCTGTAGCCGCGAAGGGGAGGGGCGCAGAGGGGCGCAGGCGGATGCCCCCTCTCCCCGCGGCCTCTCCATTCACCCAGGCCCACGAGCGCGGACGCTTCCCGCGTGGCAGGCTCGCCTCAAGTTCCCCCATTCACTTCCCCTTCCTATTACGGACTGTTCCCGAACATTAACCTCGCATCGAATCCGTCCCCCAGTCAGGTTTCAGTCTCCAAAGCATGGGGTGGGGCGTGAGAGGGTGCGGAGGTTGGCAGGAATGTCTCCGGGAGGCTTGGACTGGAAACTGAGTTTTCCCTTTTGGTCGCCACTCCGACCATGTGTTAAAACCTTAATTTTTGCTTGTTAAAAAGCACTGCGCCTAGCACGCGGGAAAAGGCACGTTGCCTTCTGGGCAAACGTGCGCGTTTTCTTTGAGTATAGACTCAGGTTTAGAGAAAAAAAAAAAACCCAAGCTCCTGTGCTCTGACTTTTAAGTCAAAACTGGTCCCACTGTGGGAAAAAAGGGGAAAAAAATGTTGTTTCTTCCTTATCCCTTTTTCGCCCTCAAGAGAAAAAAAAAAACCCTGTCCTTTATAGGATCAGTGATAAACTTTAGGGAACGTAAGTTTTATTGGACTTTTATTCCCTTACGTGCCGGCTCCCCACCCCCTATTCCCCGCGTTTTGGAGTTTCGGTTGGAAAGTGTACAAAACCCTGTAGGTGTAGGGTGCAGCCGGGTGTTGGGTGTTTATAGGCACATTTCTGCAGGAACCTGCAAACGCTAAGCACACATACTCCGAAGCTCACCTGGCAGATGCCGGCGGGCCAGGTGATCACGCTGTCGGCTCAAAGGTTCAGAGCCGCGCGAGTTCGAGCCCCGCTGCCTCCGCGCAAGGGGCGCTCCGGCAGGGTGGGGGGAGGGGAGTGAGTTCAGGCTCGGGAATGGGGACCACCGCCCTCCCCCTAAGTCCTCCAAAGAGTTGGGCTGGGTCTGTGTTTCTCCACTGAGGGATGATCAGACAATGAAAACCAAAAACCCGACGGTTACTTAAAAGTAGGAGGCGAATGTCCTAGTCTCAGCTCCTGGCTCCTGGGATACCAGAAAAGAACTAAAGAAGGTACAGAAAGAGAAATGGGGGTGGGTGGGAGAAGGGGTCACAGGAAGGGAATGAAAACGAACTGGAAAAACGTGCGAAAGGAAAAGGACAGGTCGGGATGGAGGGCACAAGGCAAGGAAGGTGGGTGGGGACAAGCCGACGCAAGGCTTCCCAACGCCCGGGCCCTGGGACTCCAGGTGTGAATACGCTTCCGGGACTCTGTCGCCGCGCCCCCCCCCCCGCACCGGTCGCCTCTCTGGGGCGCTCGGGATCCAGCGGGGGGCAGCGCTGGGCCCGGCCTATGTATTAAGACTGCCTTTTCGGTGTGTTTCAGCTCGGACCGGGTCTGTGTGCCTGAGGCAGCAGATGCGATAGGCGTGGGTCAGGAAGGCTTGCGCCTGCCGTCTGTTCACCCACCTAGCATCTCACTCCCCTCCCTTGGAAAAAAAATAAAAAATAAAAAGACCCGAACTTCCCCCTCTTCCTGTCTGATTCAGCTGCAGGACACGCCTCACGAGGCCGAAAATAGCTCTGGAAATGCATTAGCTTTATAAAAGTGAATTTTCCAATAAGATTTGGGGCGGGGGGCGCCTGGCTCGCGGCGTCGGCGGGGCCCTGCCTCCCCAGAGGAAAAGGAACCGGCCGTCTCGGTGCTTCGCCCTCCCCCCGGCGCGCCCGGGAGGGGGCCGCTGGGCGGCGGAATCGCGCCTCCGCTCGGGGAGCCACCACGCGGCTTTTTCGCGGAATTTTGACGTCACCCACACGTGGGGGGAAGGGGCTGGGAGAGCGAGAGGAAGCGGCGGGGGAGGGGGCCGGCGGGCGGGGGAGCGGCGCGGGGCGGCGGCGGCGTGTCAGGCACCTCGCGGTGGGCGCGCGAGCCGCGAGGCAGGTCCGCCGGCCACGCTCGGCCCCGCGGGGCCGGAGAGGCGGTGCGGGCCTGCGGGCGGGCCGGGACTCCCACCCTCCTTCCGCACCCTCCCCTCCCCGCGCGCCCGCCGCCGCCGCCTGCCACCCCCTTGGAGTTTATTTTTTCACTTTGAAATCGGGAGCAGCTCTTGGCTGCTGAAAAGGCTCATTTCTGGGGGTCATGGTCCAGTCCCGCTCCATATCGACATCAGACTGAATATCGCGATTGCTGGTCGCGACGCACGGCCACTCAGCTTTCGACCCTGTCTCCAGTGAAGGAGACGAGAATGTGCTTTTTCTGTTCGGGTCCTGAGTTCTGCGTTTACTTTCACACCAGGAGTTTTTTTCACGCGCTACATATTCCTCCCCGCCCC